TAAAATATGGGTAGTTTATACGTATGTACATACTAATCAGAAGGGTGAACAATAACAAGTTGAAATAAAGTTTTATCGCATGGGATCTTATAATTTTATAACAGTCATGTTTTTACAGGACATTCAGCTAAGTAAGTGATTTCTTTAACACATACAGTCGAACTTTTGTGTGACTTGTRGCTTTTGTGCTTTGCCTTTGATTTTTGGAAATGAAGTTTCATTAGAGACCATTCATCAATAATGATGAATAATAATGAATGCAATCGAGGTCACAGATCACAACCAGACATATTTCATGAAGGTCGTCCAAAATCAATTGTTTTACCGGAAGCTGTTGATGCTGTGCGCAAACTGATGTTGAAAGATCGGCATGTGATCTACCGTGAGATTGAAACACGGCTATGACATCTTGATAGGTGATGAATGAAGTCGAATGACTTCTTTCTATTCTCGTAAGTAAGAATACCTGCAGAGRCGGTTGATGCGTTCAGAATAGATGCTTTGGCGACACCTGAATCAAAGTGGCAAAAGTGCTTTGACAATTGGTTCAAGCGCATACAAAAGTGTATAGATCTTGACTATTTTTCACTTGTTATGGTTAATTTCCATCCTAATCATCTAAAGATAGTCCCCAGAACTACTKCTGGATGTAAGGGATTCATTAAGCATTCAAAAAGGTGTCTAGTCATGTATTACGAGTAAAGTTGTGTATGGGTCACCATAGATTTTCGGGTCAGCACTCGCTTTTTATTTACAATGGGTGAAGTTTGTGGCGATCGTAGTTTGGTCGGCGTGCTGTCGTCGACGTAATTAAGGAAAGACTTTTTGACTAGGAGGCGACTCCGCATCAAGTAGGCCACTTCAGGGATGGTTTCTGCAAAAACATGCCACCAAAAGTTACTTGGAGAGAAGTGCCTTGTGTTCCTTAAGCGTTGATAGGAGACATTAAGACTGCAATGTTTCTACAAATCTGAAGCATACACATATTCAGGCAAGCATTTTGGTGCTGTGTAGTTGATGACCTGCCTACCGATTATTTTGGTTGTTGTTAACAACATTTCTTTGTCTTTTCCCCAAGAGCTGTCGGCTAGCAATTTGAAAATTTTGTTGCGCCTATGCACCACAGGCTATCAAGCAACGCTTAAAATCTAAGGGTTGTTGATAAACGGAATTTAAAACCTATCGATTGTGATATTGAGATCCAATCTGATCTTAATCCTGATAATTAATTAACTAATCCTTAATACTGATCCTTCGTTCAGTTCGCGAAAATAGTCGCTGTGGACTTGGTGAGGGAGGTATCAGGCTGCTTGCTTGAAGAATTGATGAGATGGCTGTATACTTTTGAAAACATGCCCTCAATTGCCGTCCATAGAGGTCGGATCTCGCAAATTGGATGTATACTATTGTGGGCAAAAGTAGTAAGAATCAAATTTCTGGTRGCTAAACTTCAGAATGGTGGAAAAGGTCTTCGGTGATGATTGTTTATCGCGAGCACGTGTTTTTGATTGTTACAAATTATTCAAAGAGGGCCATGAACCACTTCCAGAACAGATCAACAGGTCAATAAAATAAAGGAATTGGAGTTTGGGAATCGAATAGTCAGAGATCTTACTGACATCGTTGGAGTATCGGACGGATCAGTAAAAACCATTTTGAAAGACAATTAACTAGACTCTTCGAAAAACAGCGTTGCGTTAACGTCTACCAGGATACTTTTCGACTACGAGGGTGTACACATACTATTACTGGCGATGAGTATTGTATTTATTCTTACAACCCCGAAACAGAGAATTAATCGGCCGAATATCGTGGCAAAGATGAGCCGAATCACGTCGAAGCAGGCAAAAATTAAGGTTATGTTGACAGTTTTCCTCGGTTATAGAGGTGTGTTGCACTCCGAGCTACTTCCGACCAGCCAAACTCTCAACGAGAAATAATATTTGAGTGTTATGCGACGTTTGCGCGGAGCAAATTATAAAAGGGGACTGGTTTTTGCACCACGAGTTTTTGAGATATTCTAATGAAATTTAACACGTAGTTGCATTTTKATAGCCGGAATCGCACAACTACATTACATACCTCCCATACAACTGATTATTCTGACATAAGTTTCGCTTTAAAAATGGCTGGCTCGAAAATATGAAAAGTATTTATATTTGTATTTATTTGTTGTTGTCCATCGATTATTTATGTATCTGTCGAATTGGTTGCTGTACTTTATTTTGTCGTTTGACAAAAATTATGTGCGAATAAATTTCGCGCAGAAAGCATTGGAAAATCCGTCAGCTGCAGGTTATCTGATGCCACAAAAAGTTCAGCTTTAAACCGCTGAAAAGCCCACGCATTAACGCACACATACACATATACAACATACACAGATTCACGCCTCACGGGTTTTGTATGCATTTTCTTACGATTGTTTGCATTCGCAATTATTCGAGCGAAAGCGACACACTAACACATATACGAATGCAAACAAACACACTTACATACATACATATGCGTAGGTATGTATGTGTATAAGTGCAACGACTAATGCATRCCACAGCCGCATACACACATATTTCATGCATATTTATGCGTGTTGGTTCTCGCTTGTTGGCAAAATAAATCACGGCGAATTGAAAAATAGCAAGCAGCGTTGTAACTGAGAAATGATACAAGCACTTTCCCAGCATTGGCTGGCATAATAAAAAASGATTACCACTTCAGTGGCACTATAGAAGAGTAAATATGTTTTGTGCAGAAATGTATATAGGTATATATATACTAACATACGAATATATATATTTTAGTATACATGTGTAATATGCATTTCATGTGTAGACACTTGGCGTGAGGTCGAAGACATTTATGACATCCTTTTTGTCCTACATAACGAAAATGCAAACGCATGCACGCCCAACCAACACTTATACATACATTAGGGTATGCCTTATTTTCCACGTTGATTTTTATACCCCGCAGTTTAATATATTCCGAAGTTTGTAATACCCAGTAGAAAACCCTGCCGGCCCATCTGTATACACAACTGAGTTTCTGAGATATCACTCTGTAACTCCGCATATGTTCTTTTCTTTTTCTCCCCAAGACACTGTTTTCATGTCGCATACGCTGATATCGGACTACTATAGCGTATAGCTGCCATATAAACTGAACGCTCAAACTCAAGCGCTTGTATGGAAAACTTTTTTATTTGGCAAGATATCTTCATGAAATTTGGCTCGTATAATTCCTTACAGCTAAGGTATAATATGCGTGAAAATTATTCAGATCAGATTACTATAGCATATAGCTGTCATACAAATTAAAAGCTAAAAATCAAGTTCTTGTATGCAAAACTTTTTTATTTGATAATATACCTTCATGAAATTTAGCTCGAATAATTCCTTACAGCTAAGGTATAATATGYGTGAAAATTATTTAGATCAGATTACTATAGAGTATAGCTGCCATACAAACTGAACGCTCAAAATCAAGTTCTTATACGAAATATTTTGTATCTTTGAATATTATAGCTTCGATGCAACCCAAGTCAATGTTTATTTTTTCTTTTTTGATTCATTGMAAGCAAGCTCCTTGTTTTCAAATTAAAACGCGTTTAAATCATTTTAATTTTCCGATACATATTAAATGCGAATTTTCGATCTTTTGCAATGAATGTTTTATATCCAAAGAAAATAAACTTATAACTTTATAAGAATGTTATTCTAAAAAAACTTTTCGATCTATAAAAAAGTTCTTAATAATTTTTTTCACAAAATTATTGCTTTAAAAGTTATACGCAGTTGAAGTTATGCATCTAATGTACTGTATGCACACAGTACACCATGTCGTATGAGTAACATAGTATGCAGGAATTAACTTTGCGAATAACTTTAAAAGGAATGATTGGAAAAAATCWTCCAGACCTTTTTTGTGAAGCAGAAAATTTTATATGAGAAAAGAAAAAAAGAAGAATTCAGTTTATATAYTGAGCAGGGTTGAAATTTAAACTTCAGGTGGAGTTCAAAAACAAACTCCAAAAAATTATTACAAAAAAAAAACAAAGGTGAAAGAAATTGTATGACATCTTTAGATTTACAATAATTAAAATCTATTTTTTTTTTGTCTACCCTAATACACATATTTGTATGTTTATTTGTGTTACCATGTAATTAATGCAACYGCATAGCGTCAAAMTGTTCAACAATRAAAGCAGTGYCTCAAAATGTCACAAGTTTTGTGTGAAACTCAAGCAGAAGACAGCGCCAGTAGCTGCAGCGGCTTCAACATGTGTCTAGCACGCTATGTGGCATAACTAACATTATATAATAGCGATTAAAACGCATTTCTTATGCAACCGCAAGTCGAGTTTGCCTAATGCCGCATAGATGCACGCCAACCACACCCAAATGCCAGCAGAACTGCGTTGCACAAWATACTATATTAAATATAACTCTTCCACACTTCCGCTCAACCACACTTAGCAGCAAGATTGGCAGCATTTCCTGCTGGGAAAGTCGGTATGCTATATTTGAAATTTAGCATAGCATACTTTTAGGCGAAAACGGCGTTAAGCACTACAATGTGCGCTTTGAAAATGGTAAACGTGCTGCAATGCTTGCAACGAGCGTGTCCGTGTGAACACGATCCGCCTGTGACTCCTAGGATAACACTAAACTGATCCAGCTCAGTCAAAGTTTACATTCACAATATATAAAAGCCACTAAAAAATAATAAGTTTTACAGCCATTTCGCGTTCATGAAAGAGACACATCCACATCAAACAAAACTTTACTGGTTCTCATTTTAATTATAGCCAACAGCAAACTGTGTTTCTTCTTGTGCACGCAGCATTTGTTGGTAAATATTTGCGATTAAAATACGACCTAGATTACGACACGCAGTGACCGTTAGGGAATTTATTTAATGTCATATTAAAATTTGTCACATAATTTTTTATTTTTATATATACATAGAGTAATTATGTTAAAATTTCTACTTTTCAWTAAAAATTACAAAATTAATCTTCATTTTTTACTTAAGTACAAACTTAAACTAAGCTTAGATATAACCTACAAATACAAGCATATGCATATAAGTCAATTGGTTCTAGTAGTCTGAATCCATGTTGTCATCCTCAGGACCGCTCGACAGYGGATTTCTCGTCGTTTTATTCAATTTGTTTGATGCGCACTTTTTTCTAAAATGTTTTTTCTTGCCAAATTGAAAACCTCTGCGCAAATCATCTAAGAACAATTTATAGGACCAGCCGGGTCGATCAGTGGCGCCTATATGGAGAAGAAAAGTATTCAATGCTATTTTCAAACTAATTAAAATATTTACACTTGAACACTAATACTTTGCCTCTATTTATAAAACAGTGTCGTGTTATAAGTGGAGTTGAAAATTAAAAAATTTATTTCCAAAATTAATCAAAATTCGATAAAAAAAAGTATTAGTTTTTTTTTAATTATTGTTTAATCATGATTTATGATTATGAAAAATTCTGTCTTCACACTTCATTTTTGAGAACACTGTTATCACTTATACTTACTGTATAACACACTTAAGAGTTTTGGATAAAGCAGCATGCGCTTTTTGCCATGGGTACCCTCGAGGTTATAACTCAAAATAATCTCTTCAGATAGCACATACACTAGCTTTTGCTTGAGACCAATCGGCATCAATAATGGTTTAAGAAATCGTGTCTGTAATACAATAAAATGAGGCAAAAGCAAAAATATATCTCAAAAATATGAACGTAAGGTGAATGTGTGTGAATTTCAAACTATTTGGAATAGATTGAATGGTTTTCTATAAATATTAGCGATCAATTCTCAAAAAAAA